AATGAGAATGACAAATAAGCATATCTTTAAAGTATGCGTTTGCTTTATAAAATGAGAAAGCTCGGATCGCGTGTAATTTCACAATGGCACGGAGAGAAGCTTAACCTGATTTCTTCTGGAGATCTTAATTTCTCTTAATTAATCTTCAGAGCATGTCTCTCCATCTTTTATAGCCTTGTTTCTCAAATGAGAGCTAAAACATAAATCAAGCCCATCATTTCTTCCCTCCGCCTTTAGTATTCAGATGCTCATCATCTTATTTAGCTATGATATTTCAGGGTCCACCCAGTTTCTCATCTTCATGGACATTTACAAACCGGGGCCAATCTACTGAGGTGCTACTGATAAGGTAATGGCTAATAAGAGGACGTGGCTGAAAACATGCTGCCCCTCCCTGGACCGCTTCCCTTCTGGGTGAGGTTAGTGTGTGAAGACTATGGTAAAAGCTGCCAGGTTTTTGGTGCACAATGGCACGGAGAGAAGCTTAACCTGATTTCTTCTGGAGATCTTAATTTCTCATCTTCAGAGCATGTCTCTCCATCTTTTATAGCCTTGTTTCTCAAATGAGAGCTAAAACATAAATCAAGCCCATCATTTCTTCCCTCCGCCTTTAGTATTCAGATGCTCATCATCTTATTTAGCTATGATATTTCAGGGTCCACCCAGTTTCTCATCTTCATGGACATTTACAAACCGGGGCCAATCTACTGAGGTGCTACTGATAAGGTAATGGCTAATAAGAGGACGTGGCTGAAAACATGCTGCCCCTCCCTGGACCGCTTCCCTTCTGGGTGAGGTTAGTGTGTGAAGACTAACCTGGAGTTGATACGGACAATGATCAGGCTGAGAAAAGAGCGGAAAAGCCAAGAAACTTTGGGAGTATGAGAGAGAAGTCAATGAGAAGACAACATTTTGAACGCTGAAGGCATCGAAATCAAGGCAGAACATCAATTTAAGTGACGTTTAAGGAGGAACAACACCATCATCATGGTAACCCTGAACACTCAATCGCTCACCGTGTTGGTGGGAATAATCTGACTGTTTGAGTTCGCACTAACGCTCATTACCTTCAGCCTGGTGGTTTCTGAAGGCCACAACAGCACTTCATTCTGGGCCTGGTGCATGTTCACCTGGTGCTTCTGCTGCTTCATGAACCTCCTCATCATCATCCTGGAGTTCACCAGCCTCAACACCAAGGTGCCCATCTCTTGGGATGACTTCACTACGGCTTTTGCGATGTTGTCCACACTTATGCTGTAGGCCGCTTCCATCATCTACCTCACGTTTTACGTATTCTCCTCATGTTTGGTCAAGATCACTTGGCCACAGTGATGTTGTGCGTGTGCTTCGGTCTCTACGCAGCTGAGGTGGGACTGACCCGAGTCAAAGCCGGGGAGATCAGCGGGTTCCTGTCCACCGTGCCGGGCTTGCTGAAGGTCCTGGAGGCGTTCGAGGCCTGCATCATCTTCATCTGTCTGGATTCGGGCTTGTACAGCAGGTTTCCTGGGCTCTAGTGGTGCGTGGCTGTCTACTCAATCTGCTTCATCATTGCTCTACTTATCATCATCCTCACCTTCGGCAGGTTGTTGGCTCGAATCCCCATCCCACTGGACAAATGTCTGACGGGGTACAACATACTGGCGGTTCTAATGTACCTCACGGCTGTGGTGGTATGGCCCGTCTACAGTTTCCAGAAAGTGCTGAGACTATCAGTCTGCAGAAACTGTCTCTGGAGCAGGCTGGTCATTGTGTCCTGCATGACTGCATCAATCTGATCATCTACATCGTGGATACGGTTTACTCAGTGCGTCTGGTGATCTTCGTTTCACCTGCCTAGAAAACCACAATGGTTGTGTGATAAAGTGCTTGTGATGTTCCTCATTTGTAAGTTGTGAAATGTAAAATCTACTAAAAGTAGCCAGTTTGTGGCATCAGCTTGGATGAGAAGTATAGCTGTTATATATATTACCAGTGAAACCGCAGAAAGCGAAAGAAAGAGAGAAAACACATCAGTTTGCCTTCATCATTATGTATTTATGAGTGTAAACCATAATGCTCAAAGAATAACCGAGAATAACCGAGATATTCTGTATAAAAACAAATCTCTTTTCTTTCAGCGCTGGTTTGATGAAAATATTCGAATCGTAAATCAATTGTATAATGAGAATGGCCACTTACTAAACTATGAAGAATTTAATTGTCGTGTTAAGATTCCCATTACCCCTAAAGAATTTGCTATTGTTTTTGATGCCATACCAAATGGAGTTATTAGACTGTTTCAAAAGATCCTGATTCATTTAGGTCCTACTGTTTCAGTGGTGGGGAAACATTGATTTTCAGACACTTCTTCTAAAAAGTCAATACGTTTGTTATTTCTTAATGAATTTGTGTCAGTTCCAAATGTTACAGTTTATTGGAATACTTTTGTTTCTGATATTGCCTGGAGGAAAGTTTGGCTGATTCCAAATAGATACTTCATTACTAATAAGATAAAAGAAATTTCCTTTATCAATTATCCATTGTATATCCTGTTAAATACGGTCTTAAAGAAATACAAAAAAGATATTGATACAAACTGTTCTTTTTGTAAACAGCACCCAGAGACTATAGTGCATTTATTTTGGCACTGCCATTACTCTAATTGCTGTGTTATTTGTTAATGAGAATATTGATAAAGAATTTTCTTTACTTTGGGGGAAATGCTTTGTTTGGATTTGTTAATTGGAAAAAAGTGCATTTACAGGAAAACAAAATATACTTAATATTTTTATTTGGTTAACAAAATTTTATATACATAAATGTAAATTCTCAAGTCAGAAGCCACTTTTTTTGTTTAGCTTGCCTGAAATACAGCATTACTTCGGGACTATTTCAAGTAATAAGCTTTAAAAACAATTGAAATTTGTAAGTTGTTCAATCGTTTTCTTTGAATGCGATGTGTTTTGCTTAATTATATACCCGTCTTGTATTTTTTTTTTCATTATTATTGTTCATTTTTTATTGTTATTTTATATTTTTGTATTGTAACTGCTTTCTTATTTGCTGACAATTCTCTCATAAAAAAAGCGTTGAATTTTTCTTCTTAAGAATGCGTCTCGTTTCACGCGAGTAAGTATAATTTTTTACTAATTTCAAAAATAATTGAACTAAAGGTTTTATGTTAATTGCTATCAAAATGTATGAGTTAGTTACTCAGTGCCTCACGTTAAGAGTAATTAACATACATGAGTACAACAAACTCAAAAAATAATAGTTGTTTACGTAAAATTGGAGACATTATAATAAAAAAAATTTATGTGACTGATTACCTCAAAGTTTTCTCAACTTCAGGTTTACAGTGTAACTGTAACATTCATTGTCAACTTAATATTGATCTTTGATCCTAACAATGACTCTAGATGAACTCTTATGCAACGTATGCTAACATAATGTTAATGTTAATGTACTAAAGATAACAGCAAATAATTGAGATGCTCAGGAGGATGACCTTCAACCTTGTCATCCTCATAAAACCCCATGAAATGTTACCAGTGTTTTGGGACTGGAGTAACCAACACAATCCACTGATAATACACCCACTTACATTATCCAATAAGTTCCCTATAGATAAATCAAACCCGCCCTAGATTTCTTTCACTCATCTTTCATTCAGAAATGCATTACAATATAGAAGTAAAATGACTTGTGAATGCCATTTCATGCTGACTGAGTTGAATATATGCATCTTTTTTATAAATATTAAATTACCTATTGCTTATAATCTCTCTGCTCTATTTCAAATTCTATCAGCTTATAGTTTGTCAGCTAGTGCAAGTATACTTTAATCTCAATAACACTTTATTAACTCAATAACACTTTAAACACAAAACTAATAGGGATTACAATGTACAGCCAAGTCATTATCATGACCAGTTGAATGCCAACACTTCAAGTATTTTTTGTTATTGTTTTTTTGAGTTTTAAAAAAATGATCTTGTTGTTGTTGTTTTATCTATTATTTAACCTGGATTTCAACATGAAAATAGCAGCTGGCATTTAAAACAACACACATACAGACAGACAGAGGCAAAATGGTGTAAAAAAAAAAAAAAAAAAAGTGATAAAACATAATTTTGACTTTTCATGTCATTATGATAATAACTTTTTATTTAATAATTGTCACTTTGTATTTTAGAAATTTGACTTATGATAACTATGACATTTTACCATTTTATTGAAACTTTGTCATAATTTAAACTTTTTAAATCATAATTATGGTCATTCGTATCTCAGAATTTTGACTTTTTGTGTCACACTTTAGATTTTTTTACCAAAGCATGGTTAATTATTATTATGCAGAGGAAATGGGCTTCAGTAGCAAATAAAACTGAAGATGTTGCGCAATGAAGAGAAAAGCTCTAAATCATTTTACAAGCCGTAGACAAAGAAAGAGTTCTGCTAGATTGTTTGCTTTATCTGTCAAACATTCTTGGCCTATATAAACCTAGTACTCCACATCATACTGTTATTAGGACAAGTAAAAGAATAATCCAATTGAAACTTTCCTGTGATTAAACCAGAAGTTATCTTGAGGTGGGACTGAAGCCCATAGCTGAAGATTAGAAAGAGCCCGGCTCTACCAGAGTCCAGGGTTTGGAATCAGCTCATAGGACAACAACAGACCAGCGGCCAATGAGAACCTGGAGAAAGGTCATAAAAGCGATAAGCTCGAAACGGCTTCTGTTCTAGTGTCAACATGATCAAACATGTTTGTAGCCACCTGAGAAGGAACTGAATTTTTACTTCTGGCTATTGATTTTTCAAGAATCCCTGTGGAATACAAAAACCTGAGGACGACGTGAGGAGAGTTTAACTGGATCTGTTATGGATTTGTTGACATTTATGGCACAGTAAAACTACACAAAGAAGCTCAGAAGAATGTAAGACGGTTTTGAGAAATCAAATCATTGGGATTCTGAAAAAAAACAAAAAGGCTTTGGTATTGGTGAAAGAGTTTCGTGATGTTGCACTTGGATTTCAGAACACTGATTCTGCCTATTGGCATTGTTCGGACAGTGGAGGTGGTTCTAACATGCATCTGCTTTGCACTGGCGGCGTCAGCGGGAATCCCGAACACAGCCACGTCCCATTGGGCTTGGTGCATGTTCTGCTGGTGCTTCTGCTGTTTCACGACCCTCCTCATCATCGTTTTGGAGTTTACCAACCTGAACACCAAAGTGCCCATTTCCTGGGAAGACTTCACCATGGCTTTTGCTATGTTGGCCACACTTATGATGGTCACCATCGCAATCATCTACCCCACGTTCTTCGCCTGCCCCTCCTGCTCCAGGCAGATCGGGGCGTCTGCGGTGTCCTGGTTGTGTTTCGGGCTGTACGCCGCCGAGGTCTGGTTGGTCCACAAAAGACCTGGTGAAACCAGCGGCTTTCTCACCACCGTTCCTGGTCTCCTCAAGATCCTGGAGACATTCGTCACCTGCATCATATTCACGTCTTCGAGTCCCGCCGAATATAAGGAGGTTCCAGGGACGCAGTGGTGCGTGGCCGTCTACTCCATATGCTTTGTTTTTTCATTGCTGATTATTTTCCTCACCATCGCCAAGTTGGCTTCCATCTTTCCATTTTCTTTTGACAAAGCGGTCATTAGCTTCAACATCCTGGCTGTGGCTATGTACGCAACCGCTGTTGTTATCTGGCCACTCTATGTGTTTGACGGAAACCCACGTCCAAATAATTGTAACCGGTGTTCGTGGGATGATCTGGTGGTGGTGACCATCATGACCATAATCAACTTCTTTGTGTACACTGGAGATTTGGCCTACTCTGTTAAAATAGTATTCTTTACCTATCACGGCCAGGAGTAACGCCTTACCCATGCCATATCTTTGGTTTAACATGAAAAAATATTCTATGTAACATGTGTAAGGATGTTTTTGGATATATAAGGAGCGGTCACATACCTTACACGAAATATCACGGGCAAAAAAAGGTCCTTTGTTTGTCAGCAATGTAGTGATGCATGAAGCACCGCTTACTGAGAGGTCACTTCCAAACTAAGAAGTTTCAACGAGGCGAAAACGCGAGTTTAATGTTGAACAAACTTGAATCTGATGCGGAAAATGCGCGGGTTCGAATTATTGAGATGACCGGATTTCACCCGCGGATTTTCGCCATGCAAAAAGGTAAATGTGGCCGCACCCTAATTAGTCAGACACATTATGTAGATGGTTTAGTACAGATGAGGTATTAATTCTCAGGAAGTCACACATGGCTAATAGTAAATTATGTAAGTTAATTATGAAATCATTAGCCTATATAGCCTACTACCATCACTACACTAAGGTATCGATTTATATCACTCCACAATAATATACTTGACTATAACTTTGTACAGTGATTTTTATTTTTGTTACCAATATTATTTTTGTCTGTTGTCGTACATTCTCGCAGAAAGCCGAAAGGTTGTATGATGTGAGAGATATTCAGAGACAATTAGAAGTTTATGAGATTTCGTAGCGGTTTATAATCTAAATCCAGCCTAAGCAGTGTCACAAAAAAATGAAGAAATGGTTGAGGTTTACCCTGTTGATTTAATCTGAAAAGATACTAAATAATTCAAATTAAAGTATATATTTTTACAATGTGTCTGTGTTTTATTTGGTATAATATTAATAATGACATTTTTATGTTAACAATGCTTTTTTGAATTACATTAACATTTTAATTAACATTAACCTTGTGAATTGATAATAAAGATGATCTAATAATAAGGAAACGTTCTTTGCAATAATTCATTCTCCAAACATAAAAGCAGGACAGGATGACAAAGAAAATCTAAATAAAACAATTTTATTAGAAAAATAGTTGCTTTTTATCTTGCATGTCTCACACACATTTGTTTGCCATACATTTTTGCAATATGTTAGATATGTGTTTTTGTATATGACTACACAGGTGTAAAAGTAAAACCACTATGATCTTCGGAAGAGAGTTTGTTTTTACTAATGTTAGTGAGAAAGTACAATAAAAAATACATAAATATGGGCATAAATAAAGCCAGAGTAACAGGAAACATGGAGGTTCAAACTGTTCCAAACAATCTTTATCTATCCGTTAATATGGAACATACAATTTTATCAAATGTAATTCATAAAAGATTTGAACATTCACCATTTAAAAGCCTTAACAAGGACATAAAATACATAAAACAAACAAAACCCATAAAACCTGAAATGAATCTATTTGTAGAAACCAGATGACTGAATATTTCATGCACCATATTGAGTATATAGTTTAAATGTTTAAACTGCAAAAACTTAGAGTTAAACATTCTGATTTCCAGTGTTATGTATAAAAACAATAAAATAGTGCAAACCAAAACATGCAGACATTATGACAAAACGTAAAATCTTAATATGTGTAACATCGGTTCAAGTCTCCAGTCGAGAGTGACAAGAGAGGTAGAGCTCACTGTTACACGTAAACACGTACATTTCAGCTGATTGTTCAGTTCAAGGCTTTAGTAGAGCGAATCAGAAATGTAAAATATCTTTCTGGTGCAGTAAAACAGCTCTTGACTCAGTGCCTGTATCTTGAGAGCAGCTACTGGTCCCTCTTCACTTCACTTTATGTCCATCTACATACCTTAAAACACACGTTGAGTTCCAGCTGATGATCTTACATCTGCAAGGTTTCTCTCACTAGCTGCTCTTGAGGCTGACAATGGCGTTGATGAAGAACTCGTACCAGAAGAAGGTGAAGCCTGTGGACAGAGCGGCCTTCAGGAGACTGGGGGAGAGACCCTTAAAGAAACCCCGGAGCCTTTCCTCTCTGCCGATCCTCACCACACAGTCCACAAATCCATGATACGTCCGCACCTGCACAGAAAACACAAGAAATAAGAATTAATTTGTAAAACAGATGAACCTGCACTACCATTTAAAAGGGTTTTTGAAAGAAATCTCTTATTATGTTCACCAAGGCTGCATTTATTTGATCAAAAACACAGTAAAATATTATTACAATTTAAAATAACCATTTTCAATTTGGATATATTTTAAAATGTAATTTATTCCTGTAATTTATTCCTCATTCCTCCAGTCTTCAGTGTCACATGATCTTCAGAAATCACTCTGATATGATGATTTGATGCTCAAGAAAGATTTATTATTATCAATGTTGAAAACAGTTGTGCTGCTTCATATCTGTTTCACGATTCTTTTGAACGGTTCATTTAAAATAGGAATCTTTTGTAACATTATAAATGTCTTCACAGCCACTTTCCATCAATTTAATGCATCCCTGCTGAATAAAAGTAGTCATTTCTTTAAAAAAAAAAGTCTTACAGACCCCAAAATTTTAATCAAAAGTGTATTCAGCTAAAAAATGCCTACAATCTACAGGTATAAAATAGCAGAAGTGTCATTCTTAAGGTTTAGTAACAGTGAAGTTAGCCTAGCAAGCAGAAATAGTTATTATAGGGACATTGATCAAAGCTACAGTCTTTTGGTTAGCAGCTCAGATCTTTAACCTCCACCCACCTGTCCGAACTTCATCCTGGCCTCTTCAAATCCACCCACTTGAAGTCTCTTTTTAATCAGGTCAAACGGATACGTCATTGTTTTACTGATGACTCCAGCACAACTACCGCTGATCAGACTGTGTAAAGCTCCTGAAAACAGACATGACACCACAGCAACATTACCACTGGGACAGAAAAGCAGCTTACACAAGCTTTAAACTACATTTACATTTAGACATTTAGCAGACGCTTTTATCCAAAGCGACTTACAAATGAGGACAATGGAAGCAATCAAAATCAACAAAAGAGCAATGATATACAAGTGCTACAACAAATCTCAGTTTGCTTAAACGCAATACACGTAGCAAGGGTTTTTTAAATAATATAATAAATAAAAAGAAAACAGACAGAATAGAAAAAGAATAGAGCAAGCTAGTGTTAGGGGCCTTTTTTGCTTTTGTTAATCAGAAATCAGAAAGTCAGAATTATAATTGTATAATAAATAAAAAGAAAACAAACAGATAGAATGCAAAAAGATAAGAGAAGCAAGTGTTAGTTTTTGTTTTAAGAAAACAAGCAGTTAGTAAATAAATAGTATGCAAGTTTAAAAGGGGCAAGTTCTTTTTATTAAGAATAGAATTAGAATAGAGAGTGCTAGAGTTAGAGGGTCAAATAAAGATGGAAGAGGTGTGTTTTCAGTCGATTCTTGAAGATGGCTAAGGAACTAAAAAAATAAAACTAAAATAAAACTAAAAAACTAATTTTTTAAACAAAAAAAAAAAAAAGGTTTCTATTATTTGAAATACAGCTGAAATAAAATATAAATATTAGATGAGAAACTTAAAAATCTTAAATGAAAATTAGAAATGTTGCCTTGGGGACTAAATAAAAATAAGTTGAAGTTGAAGAATGACTAAAACTAAAAATGAAATAAAAATAAATGAAAGCTAAACAAAATAAAAAAATCTAATTACATTTTTTAAAAAGCACAAAAAAAAAAACTTTTACAAAAATAAAAATGAAAACTGAAAATATAAAAATAAAAGCTAATTGGCTGAATAAAAAAAATTAAGAATTTTGTAAAAGCAAATAAATAAATACGATCTAATTCAAAAAAGCTAAAGGCTCATTCAAAATATTAATAAATATTATAATGGTACATAAAAAAAATACTGAAATAACACAGTTTAAAAATATACTCTGACCTTTAGATTTGGTGTCTTGGGGCTCCAGAAGTTTCTTTATGATATTATAAAAGAAAAACTGCAAGCCTGCATATGGAAACACGGCCACTAGGGTGGGTGTGAGGCCCCTGTAGAAGGTGAAGGGCCCCTCTGTGCGGAACATTGTGACCACGGCATGCCTGAGGTTACGATACATCTGCACATATGAGAAAAAATCTGTGGGTTTCATTAAAGCCTAGCAAAAAGAGAACTGCAGGAATCTTGCACTGATTGGTAGCAGAGCATGACCTTTTAAAACTACCATTTTCATTCAGTTATTTATTTTACCTGTCCACCCTTTCAGATGCATTCAGACACAGCGCATTCAAATGATTTAGTAACACGTAATATCACACTTTTGTGACCCCTGACCTTGGGTTCGCCCTGAGCAGCGAAGCGTGTGCGGAGGGTATCCAGCGGCTGGCAGGCGACGGTGGCGGAGCAGGCGGCCAAACCGCCGCAGATGAAATGCACTCCTGGTGTCTGGCTGTTATAGGCCGTCTTCTTATGGACCAGCTCTGTTAAGGCTTCAAAACTCGCAAACTAGGACAGAACAGACAAACAGGAAAAAAATGAGTTTCAAGAGAATTTGTCAAATATCTACAACTGTGTAAAGGATGACCACTAATGTTTGATATCTCTAAAATACCAAATAGGATAAGCTACATGTAGAATAGAATCAAATAGAATAAAACAGAATTGAATATGAACTAATTTATTGCTTCAAGTTGAAAGACGAATGAAATAGAAAATAACATTTATTGCAACAACATCGGGACCAGAATTATTATTATTATTAACTAAAACTATTAAAAATAATTTTCAGCAACTCAAAGCCGAAATAAAATATAAAATATTCGATGAAAAACAGAAAACGTAAACAAAAATTAGAAATGTTGTCTCGGCAAATACGTTTAAGTTGATTAAAATGACAAAAACTAAAACTGAAGTAAAAATGTAATAGAAATCGATTAAAACTAATAACAAGCACATAACAAAATAAAAAAAACGAATAAAAATATAAACATAAAAGCTATTCAAAATACTAATATATAAAACACTGAAATAAAAATAAATGAAAGCTAAATTAAAATATATAAAACAAAAACAATATGTAAATGTATATATAAATAATACTAAAATAACCATGATCAGGACTAACTTGATCTTTATTTATGACAACAAAGCTAAAAGAAATAGAATAGAATAGAAAAATCCTAGCAGAATAGAACAGAAGAGAATCTTTTTCTATCCTTACAATAGGGTCAGTTTACAATTTCCAGTTCAATTTAAGGTCAAAACCTTTTTTTAATGTGGTTTAATAATTAAATAGGAAGATGATTCCTATTTTCCTGGCCTCATCAAAATTGTATGTATGTTAGGAATACATATTATTTATCTCCAAGTACCTGAACTGCCCCATAACACACAGACAGCAGCTGGGCAGGAATGTGACCTTTCCAGAAAGCAGGAAGTCCTTCTTCAGTCATAATACAGCGTGTGGCCTGCCATAAACCCCAGTACTTCCCCTGACGATTCCTCCAGGACACCTGCTCGATCTGCAACTGCGCACAGACCCACACGCACAAAACAGTCAACATGATGCTGTTCTAGAAGAACTGTGTGAATGTGAAGAATTGAAAAGGTCTAAAAGTGTAGCACTGCCACCTTGAGGCCTGTCCATCAGTTGCTATGGCACAGAAACTACAAAACAAACTAATTCAAGCACAAACAGGCTCATGGAGTGCATCTTCTGGTGGGCATTTGTAACCAGTTTAAAGCAGATGAACAGTCTTCTTTCAACTGAGCGTGCTCAGTAGAGCCGTGGATTTGAGAGTGGAACTAAAATTCCACAGGTAGACGTGACTCATGTTTTAGGCACGAGGATGCTTATATGAATCAGATGTACTAGAATAGAGACGATTGTGTTAGCTGTGGATGAAAACAGCTTTAGTTGAATGTGTTAATATTTATGTTTTCATTTCATTATTATGTACAGTTCGGAAACTCAAGAGCACTCTGACTCATGAAAGTTCTTACCTGAAACCTGATTTTGACGACATCCAGAGGGCTGATGAGGGCACGGGTGACCATACCCGCCGCTGACCCGGCCAGAGCAGCTTCCTCCGGGGTGAAAGCCGTGCCGGGGGAGTTTGGATCATAGCCTACCATTCCTGCTCGGATCACGCGACATAAACTACAGCCACAGCCTGTGAAATTCAGTGGAATTAAATTAAATTAAAAATACTAATAATATATATACATACAGGTGCATCTCAATAAATTAGAATGTCGTGGAAAAGTTCATTTATTTCAGTAATTCAACTCAAATTGTGAAACTCGTGTATTAAATAAATTCAATGCACACAGACTGAAGTAGTTTAAGTCTTTGGTTCTTTTAATTGTGATGATTTTGGCTCACATTTAACAAAAACCCACCAATTCACCATCTCAACAAATTAGAATATGGTGACATGCCAATCAGCTAATCAACACAAAACACCTGCAAAGGTTTCCTGAGCCTTCAAAATGGCCTCTCAGTTTGGTTCACTAGGCTACACAAGCATGGGGAAGACTGCTGATCTGACAGTTGTCCACAAGACAATCATTGACACCCTTCACAAGGAGCCACAAACATTCATTGCCAGTTTATTAACTTTTCCACAACATTCTAATTTATTGAGATGCACCTGTATACATCAATTTGGCTGATGTGGATGGATAATAACTTCAGTGGAATAAATTAAATAATGCAACAAAAAATATAATATTAATTATAATATGAAAAAAATCACTATGACTGGTTTGAATGGATGACAACTACAGTAGAATTAAGTTAAATAAACCAAATAATAATGATAATAATAAAATGTATCTAAAAAATTTAATATAATACATATTTAATGCATGTTTATGCTATTTTATATGTATTGTTTAAAATATTATTGATAAATTTACTACTCAACATGACAGCAGTTGACATAAACACAATGGCTGCGTTTCAAAACCTATTGCGCTAGATGGGCAGCTTTAGATGGTTTCGACCGGGACGTGCTTATGATGCCCAAAAATGTTGTCTTGGTAAGCAG